TGATCTCGGTTTACATTATCAGAGATTTCCTATTGTATCTGAAGGATACAATGATGTAGATTGGAATACCTTATCAAATGATTCCAAAGCAACTAGTGGCTATGTATTCAACATAGCTAGAGGAGTTGTATCTGGAAATCAAAGAAACATACTATCCTGAGAATATATCATTAGCGACTGCTAGTGAAGAAGCAAGTTGGTTAAGATGCTTTCTAACTGAGATTCCCTTATGGAAAAAACATATATCAGTTGTGTTGATCCACTGTGATAGTACCGCGGTTATTGCAAAAATTGAGAATCTTTATTATAATGGTAAAAGATGTCAAATAAGAAGAAAGCACAACACTGTTAGAGATTATATCTCTAAAGGAGCTGTAAGAGTGGATCATGTATGCACTGATGAAAATTTAGCAGATCCTTTGACGAAAGGATTAGCTAGAGAGAAAGTCTATAATACATTATATAAGATGGGACTAACGCGTATAGGAAAATGAGTTGCTCGTGATGGTAACCCGACCTAAATGACTAGAGATCCCAAGAAATAGGTTCAATGGGTAATAACAAGTTGTGAGTAATATGAGATGATCATGCAAGTAAACCATGAATCCTGAAGTAATAAGAGGATGATATAATAGAAACTCTTAATGAGATCTATACTCTGTATGAGGAAGTACCTAGACTACATAAGTACTCTTGATAGACTCATCTATATGATTGTGGAACTTAGGTCGGTTCCTATGGAATTTCGAGGCAGAATTTCTAGAGTCTTCATTAAACTGGGATACACGTGCAAGACCATTAAAGCACGTGCTATTAGAATACACCTTAAGAAAATGTTGTGTGCGGGTTTGATGTCTGAGATAGAGTTCAAGATATTTGTGTCACTCTTGTTGAATTGAAATCCTACTTGCTATGCAAAGGTTCAAGTCGTAGACACCTTTGTTTATGCACAATCTTAGAAACGTTTGACATTACTTCTAAAATCAATTTTTAAATTCAGTGGGGGATTGTTGGAACATGTCCATGTTCCAATATGTTGAATTTAAAAATTTCTCGTCCCACATTGTTAGAATATCTTTTTGGTTGAAAAAAACCATTTAGTCCCACACTGCTCATGTGAGAAATATTAACTACCTTACTTCACTATATAAGGAGTACACATATTAGTTTTTTCTTCCTCACTCTCATAACTTTGCGTCTCTCGAATTGTCGAAGCGCCATCTTCTTCCCCTTTCTTCCCACTTGTTGAATTTTTCGAGTATTTTCTTGAATTCTCTTTAAAGAATTATGTTAATTTCTCCTCATTTGAGTTGAGAAATTTTCAAGTTTAATCTTTTGTATTCTCTTTGGAGAATTATTTGAATTCCTCTTTGTTGGAGAAATTATTATGAGTGGTCAAATGACCATTATTAATTTCCTTTTGGAGAATTATTTGAGTTTCTTTTTGTTTGAGAAAGCCGCGAAACGTCCTAAAGAGAGCGACGTAGTCTGCGACTCAACCTGATAAACATTTTAAAATCCGAAAACAACATGAGTCTTATTGGTGAAGTGTAATGTTGATCTAAAATAAATACGAAGATTAAAAAAAACCTAGCAGAGAGTGGCGATTTCCGGCGAGATTCTGACACGGCGGCGTAAGTGCAAACGAAGTGAAACCTGGATAGATTCAAGGTTAACTCTGAGGGAAAATCTACCCGAAATGCTTTAAACTCCTAACCTTAGGGTTAGGGACCATATCAGAGGGATTTCACCGTTGTTTCTTTAGCAGAACTCAGTGGAAGCGACGTAGCAACGACTGGTGCCATGTCAAGAACTACACAAAGAACAAAGGGGAACCAAAAAGAAGAGGAACAAGAAGGGACCAACTTCGACAACAGATGGGATGAAGATGAAATCGTTAACTGTGATTATGGGAGTGATACCGATCAATTTCCTTGAGGAAGAGTCGGAGAAATATGATTCGAAATCGAAAATGCAGATGTGAAATTGCTAATTGAGGGAACAGAGGAGGAGAACTATGTAGAGGGGATACCAGAGTTCATCAAAACGCATGAAACAACTGCAAATCGTATCAAGAAAGGGGACTTGGTCACACCACCTATCCTGCAAATGATAATGCAAAACCTGAATGAGAAATTCATACAAGCTAAGGAAGAAGAGAAACAACCTACAAGAGTGAAAATACAACTCGAAGACATTGAAGATGAAATAGAGTATTGGAACGTGAGAGGGACCAACAACCACACTAAACAAGAGTCAGTCAAGAGATTGATTAGAAATAAAGTGGTTGGGCTCATTGGTCTCCTCGAAAAAAAGGTAAAAACTAAAAAGCTTGGTAGTTTATACATGAATATGTTCTCTAGGTGGTATTTTACATCAAATAATGCGTGGCTTGATAGTGGTAGAATAGTTGTAGCTTGGAAACCCTAAATGTTTACCATAAACATCTTAAAGTGCACAAGTCAACTTATTCATATGGCTGTGTGCTCGAATAACAATAAGGAGAACTTCTTGGCAACCTTTATATATGGTTTTAATAATGATGCTGGGTGAAGAGAGCTTTAGAAAGATCTTCAGGCAGTCAATACAAAGACCTCTTGGATAGTGCTTCGGCACTTTAATCACATCCTGTCGAAAGATGAAAGAATAGGGAAAAAAGTTAAGTACACTAACTCTAGCTCTTTCCTTCAATGTGTGAACAATTGCCAATTGGAGGATATAAAATACACAGGAAATTACCATACTTGGAATAACAAACAAAAAGGAGATGATAGGATTACTCTAAGATTGATAGGATTATGGCTAATCAAATTTGGTTGAACACCAATAATCTAGCTGAAGTGCACTTCCCTAATGAAGGTGACTTCGATCATTCCCCTGCTATCCTCACGGTAATACCCTTCTCTGATCACAGGAAAAAAAAACCTTCAAGTATTTCAAAATGTGGCAAGAGCATCCTGCCTTCAGAGAGAATCTTGTTAATAGATGGAAAGATCACATTCAGGGCACCCCCATGTATGTTGTTGTTCAGAAGCTGAAAAGGCTCAAAGATGTGCTGAGAAAAATCAACAAATTAGGATTCAGTAATCTTCATACTGTTGAGCTTAATGCTAAGTTGAATATGGAGGAAAGTCACGATGAATTAAAGAAGGACCCCCTTAACAATGAGCTGATTGATAGTGAAGCCCAAGCTAGATACAACTATGTAGAGACTCACAAGTATTATATTTCCTTCCTAGCCCAAAAGTCGAAAAAGCTTTTGGATCAAAGATGGAGATAATAACTCTGCTATATTCCATGCTAGCATAAGGCAGAGACAGAACCATAATAAGATTTACTCCATCAATAACAAAAAGGGCGAGTGGATCAACAAACCTGATGAGGTTATTGAGACCTTCTTGGATTTCTACAAAGATCTTATGGGGGATAAAATGGAAAATAGAGCTCATGTTCAAAGTACTGTGATGATGGAAGGAAGGAGTCTTAGCCATGATCAGCAAAATTTCTTGATTCAAAACTACATTAATTCTGATGTGAAGAAAGCAGCTTTTAGTATCCCAAGTCAAAAGGCCCCTGGACCTGATGGATACAGTAGCACCTTTTATCAGGATAATTGGGATGTGGTTGGAACTGAAGTTTGCAAAGCTGTCACAACTTTCTTGAACTCTGGTCACCTGCTAAAAAAGATCAATACAACCACTCTTACTCTCATTCCCAAAGTGAAGTGCCCCAACTCAGTGGGAGATTATCGGTTAATAGCCTGTTGCAATGTGTTGTATAAAATAGCCACTAAAATGATTTGTTAAAGGTGGTCCCTGACCTTGTGGCTCAGAATCAGGGTGGTTTACTTTTGTCCAAGGAAGATTCATGGCGCATACATAACATCATGATTTGTCAGGACCTGGTTAGGCACTATGGTAGGAAAGCTGCAAAGCCAAGTTGTATGATAAAGCTTGACATAAAGAAAGCCTATGACACAATAGAGTGGAGATTCATTGAAGAAATGTTGACTGCTTTCAAATTCCCAAGTAAGTTTATTTCTCTCATCATGACTTGTATTAGCACACCAAAATTCTCCCTGATGATGAATGGGACCTTACATGGTTATTTCAACTCTAAGAGGCAAGGGGACCCTATGTCCCCTTTGCTCTTTGTGCTTGGTATGGAGTATCTCAGTTGGATCATGAGCAAGGTTGGGAAGCTGGAGAATTTTAGGTTTCGTGAAAGATGCGATGTCTTAGAGATAAATCATTTGAGCTTTGCAGATGATGTCCTCCTATTCTGCAATGGTGATTTCATTTCCATTCATTATATGCTTCAAGGACTTAAGTTGTTCTCTAACACTTCTGGTCTGCATCCTAATGAGAATAAGTCTAAAATTTTCTGTTATGGGATGCCTAATGGGGAAATTCAAAGAGTCATAGAAATGTCTGGTTTTAAAAATAAAGAGATGCCGTTTAAATACTTAGGGGTGCCGATAAACTCTTAAGAAAATATCTGCTCAAGAGTGTCAAGTTCTATCAGACAAGTTGACAGGTAAAATCAGAACTTGGAGCTCTAGAAATATGTCCTTTGCTGGTCAGGCAACTCTGGTTAATTCTGTTTTACTCACCATACACTCCTATTTGAGTCAGATCTTTATCATGCCTCAAAGGGTGTTGCGTGACATTATTGCTATCTGTAGAACTTTCCTCTGGACTGGGAAAGCAACAAATAATAGTCCAGGGTGTGTTGCCTGGGTTGAGTTATGCAAACCTAAAAGTAAAGGAGGGTTTGGCTTTCAGAACAGTGTCATTTGGAATAAAGCTGCAGTTGCTAAGCATGTTTGAGTGATTGCTAATAAGAAGAACAATTTATGGGTTAAATGGGTTTATCAAGTGTATATAAAGGATGAAGAGTGGGATAATTACATAGCTCCACCTCAAAGTAAAAATGATTATAGCAAGATAGTTGGTATCAAAGTGATTGCTGGTATTAGAGGAAGATAGTTGGAGTTAAAAATGAATTCAAGAATTATAACTCTCAAACTGGCTTCAGCAGAGAGTATAGCATCAAACGGGTGCAAAATGATTATTGGAGATTTAGAGAGCGAGCATTGGGCTGAAACTGTATGGGCCAGAAGCAATATTCCTAAACATAGCTTCATGTACTGGATGGCTATTCAAGATAGACTGAAAACCAGAAGCATGCTCAAAAAGATGGGCATACTTGATACTGAGGACTGTTTGCTTTGTGGTATGCATGAGGAGAACATCAGGCATCTTTTCTTTGACTGTGTTTATAGTAGGAAATGCTTGGAGCAGGTTAAAAATTGGCTTGGATGGCAGGCCAACATAAATAATTTACCAAGTGCTTCCAGGTGGATCAATAGAGCAAAGATTACTAGATTTAAGAAGATCATTTATGCGGCATTGCTGGCAGGGTTAGTGTACAACATCTGGAGATGCGGAAATGAGGTCTTGTGGTATCAAAAGTTGGAAAAACCTGAGATTAGCATTGTTAATTGCTGTTATCAGACATGTTTTGGTGGGATTAAATGTAGGTGGCATGTCTTTTGAAACATTAGATAAATTTAAATGCTATCACTTATTATTTTTCATACTCTAATTTGGAATAAAGAAATATTAAAATATAATATTTTAATTCAAACAAATAATTCATTTTAAATGAACTTGCATGAATGACTAAGAATTATTAAGTCATTTTCAATGAACTTCTATAGTTCCATAAATATTGCCATTCAATTTAATTAAAATAATTTTTTTAAAAGATAGAATTCAAAAGTCACTTGGGTTTCCAAAGCATATAATGCATACATTCACTTCATTATGCAAAATTTCAAGGAACTTCCATAATTGCTCGAGGCTAAACTAATTAATGCAGGTGGCTATTCCGGATAACTATGATAATAATAATCAATAACCTGACATTTGCATTATAAGCAATGTCATCTCAATGAAAATTATTAAATATGACCATTCTTCAACAGAAAATTTGCAAGAGATCGAAGACCGGAAAGAGAAAGAGTGTGAGTAAGAGAGGAGTTTGGATCTTATCCTGCGGAAAAAGTTATGTTCTCTATGCTCCCTAATCCAATGACATGAGAATTTTGAAATAATATAATGAAAATAAAAATTTTATCTTCATTGAAAATGAATAGCAGAGATTATGACAGGACAGTGAACATGAGAGAAAAAACTGGAGAGGATCCAGAGATTTGTCAATGGGGTAGATATAGAAACATTGTTGAAATATTTGCGATTAGTTTAATTTTTTAATTTTTTTTAAAAACTAAATCACTATGTCTTTTGATTACACGGAAAACACGTTATATTTTTTATTGTGCAGAAAATGGTCAATTTATGGCTTTTGTGACTATATTAATTTATTAAGAAAAATTATTAATCAATGTTGTTTTTTATTATTTATCATAATTATCATTTATATTTTAATTTTATTTCAATATCAATATTAAATTTTAGTTTTTATTTTTTAAAAGTAGAGTTTTATTTATAATAAAATATTACACGAATATATTAAAATCTAATATAATATATCAAAAATCCATAAATTAAAGAATATAAGTAAAACATATCTACCTTTTTTAGTATAAAATCACAAGTAAATGTTATATTAAAAATAAAGTTTTTCAATATCAATTTTTTTTTTATAATAATAACGTACGTGTGAATGTAGGATAAATAACTATTTAATTTTTTTACTTTACTTTTTAATAAAATATACATTATCAATATATTGAGATTATTTAATTTATATATTTTTTATATCAATTTTTTAATTATTATTATACTATATTTATTTAATATTTATTACGATATTGTGTCACTCCTATAAAAATACGGGTAAATAATAATTTAATTATTTTATTTATTTTTCTATTAAAATATATATTTCAATTATGTTTAAGACGAATTAATTTATATATTTTTTATATACTATACTATACTTATTTACTATTTATCAACATATATGACCTCTAAAAGAAACATATTATTTATTTTTTATTAAATATATATTTTTGATGAAATGAGACTATATATATATATATATATATATATATATATATATATATATATATATATATATATATATATATATATATATATATATATATATATAACCATCACTACATTATATTTATATTAATATTACACTATCCGTAAGAATATACGAATCACTTTTTAATTTATTCAATTTTCACAAGTAGAGAGATTCATTTCAACACTACACGTGTGAAGCATTGTTACAATAATATTTGAATATTAAAACTACAGAAACATATTTTTGCAATAATAATTAATAATTTTGTCCATCAATTATGATAATTAAATTCTCACTTAAACATGAAAATGAGTGTTTATCAAAATTATCAAAATCATCACATTTTATTTTATATTGTTAGAAATCTACCAAATATTAATGATGAATTTTTATCAATTTTGATAAACAAGATTGATATCACCACACAATGACAATGAATTATGAGAAAAGAAAAGAAAAGAAAGAAGATAATTATTTTCTGCAGAGTTTCTCTCTGTCCACAAATTGTGAAAAACTTTATTAATCACTTGTAACTGCAAATTATGTGATTACAATGAATTGATTTAATTACAAAATTAGGGGTTACTCCCTCTATTTATAGATTTAGGTTAGCTTGCTCCCTAAACCAAAACCCAAAACTATAAAAGACCAAAAATATATATTTTGGTACTAAATCAAATCTATTTATTTTAGATCTAAATCAAATTTATCTAAATTTAAAATCAATCAAATCTGTGTGTAGCTTGTTTCGATCCACAAGCTCTTCGACTGGGCAACCTCCCTTCGACACACACACAGTTTCGACACAATCGAATTATAATTTAACACACCACCTAATTCATTGTGTCTAAACTATGTATATTCATCATGATTCTTAGTCTTCTGAATACTTCGACCTGCACTCCCTTCGTCATGATGTCTGCAATCTGATTCTCAGTTATGCAGTGTTCCAAATTCATCTTCCCATCTGCTACCTGCTCTCGAAGATAGTGGAACCTCATTTCGATGTGCTTGCTTCGACCATGTGCTATCGAGTTCTTCGCCAGATTGATAGCTGACATGTTGTCGATCTTCATGATAATTGCTCCATGATCTTTCCCTGTTATCTCTTTGACCAAGTTCACCATCCAAGTTGCTTGACATGCACAAAGAGAAGCAGCTATGTATTCTGCTTCGCATGATGATAATGTCATTACTGGTTCATTTCTTGAACTCCAAGCAACTGGTGCACCACCTAACATAAACACATATCCTGCTGTTGATTTTCGATCTTCAGCATCACTACACCAACTCGAATTAGTGTATTCCACTAACTTGCGTTCTTTTCTTTTATCAGCTGCAAGAAACAAAATGCCATAGTCGAGAGTTCCTTTGAGATACCTTAGTATCCTCTTCACCATTGCTAGATGTGATACCTTTGACTTTTGCATGAATCTACTTACCATACCTACACTATATGCTAAGTCAGGCCTTGTATGACAAAGGTATCTCAATGACCCAATAAGTCTTCTGTATTGGGTTGGGTCGACACCATCTTCATCAACATCTTTCAACAGTTGCAGTTTTGGTTCTGCAGGTGTTGAAGTTGAGTTTCATTCTTCCATCTCAAATCTCTTGAGAATTTATCATGTATATCTTCTTTGATACATCATCAAACCTCTAATGCTCTTGTAGAATTTGATGCCAAGAAAATATGAAATCTCACCCAGATCAGACATTTCGAATTCCTTGCTGAGATCACCTTTGAAGTCTTCGATCTCACTTTTGCAGCTACATGTTATCAACAAATCATCGACATAGAGACATAGTATAATCAATTCACTATTGCTTCTACTTACATATACTCCATGTTCAGCTGTGCACTTCACAAATTCCTTCTCTCTTAGGAAACTATCAATTTTGTTATTCCAAGCTCTTGGAACTTGTTTCAATTCATACACGGCTTTATGCTGCCTGTACAGCTTTCTCTCTTCATCATGTTTCAAAAACCCAACTGGTTGTTTAACATAAACTTCTTCGTCTAAAGGTCCATTCAGGAAATCACACTTCACGTCCATCTGACATATGTGCCATCTATTTATTTCTGCTAGACCAATAATCAACCTGATTGTTTTGATCCTAGCAACAAGTACAAAAACTTCATCGAAGTCTATTTCTTCTTTCTGTAGAAATCCTTTTGCCACAAGCCTTGCTTTGTGTCGAGTTACTTCTCCTTTGGAATTCATTTTCACTTTGTATACCCACTTGACATCAATTGCATTCTTTCCTTGAGACAATTCGACAAGCGACCAAGTGTTGTTGTCTTCGATAAAATTCACTTCTTCGTTCATTGCTTTCACCCACTTTGAATCCTTCAATGCTTCAGCTGCATTGACAAGTTCGACTTCTACATAGAAAGCATAATGCACCAACTCACCTTCATTATCTATCACATCATCTGATGTAATCACACAATCTTGCAATCTTGCAGGCACGCGTCTTGTTCTTTGAGGTCTACTTGTACTTGGTTGATCTATAACTGCTGGTTCCTCTTGTCGAACTTTTCTTTTGACTTGAGTTTCTGGTTCTTCAAGTAGGATTCCCATTGAATCTTTCTTGACATTTTCAGTCCAATCCCATTCTTTAAGCTCATCTATGATCACGTCCCTGCTGATCACAATCTACTTGTTCACTGGGTCGAACAACTTGTAACCTCATGTCGAATGATTTCCAACTAGAATCGTTTGACTCGACTTGTCATCAAGTTTTCTTCTCAACTGGTCTGGAACATGTCTATGTGCAATGGATCCAAATACCTTCAGATGACTCAAGCTAGGCTTCACACCAGACCAACATTCTTCTGGAGTAATTCCTTCTAGCTTCTTTATAGGATATCTGTTCAAAATGTATATTACAGTCGACACAGCTTCACCCCATAACGCTTTAGGTAAATTCTTGCCTTTCAACATACTTCTCACCATATTCATGATGGTTCTATTCTTCCTTTCTACAGTTCCATTATGCTGTGGAGTATAGGGTGACACCACCTCATGCACAAACCCTTCCTTTTCATATACATGTCGAAGTATTTTGACACATACTCTCCACCACCATCAATTCTCAAAACTTTGAGTTTTCGACCACTTTGTCTTTCAACCATAGACTTAAACTTGGCAAATACCTCAATCACTTCACTTTTCTTCTTGATCAGGTAAATCCACAACTTTCAACTGAAATCATATATGAATGTAATAAAGTATTTGTTACCTCCCATTGAATCCACATGGATTGGTCCACATACATCAGAGTATATAACTTCAAGAATAACCTTCGACCTACTTCCTGCATCCTTGTTGAAGCTATTCTTGTGCTGCTTCGCCTGCACACATTCCTCACATACCTCGTTTAGAATATCGATTTCTGGCAATCCTGAAACCATATTTCTTCTCTTCAAATCTCGGATGTCTCTGAAGTTGAGATGACCTAATCGATAATACCATATCCATTCATCTCTACT